TTAGCAACAATTATTTTTTAACTGATCTACCTTTTACTAGATACAAAAGTATACAATTTAACTAATAAGTGTAGTTTAATAGCCATGTATTTTCTATACTATACAGATACGTAAAATATTCAAAAGCTTTGTTATACATTTAAACTAAGTTTTAATGGTATTTACAAACAACTATAAAAATAAAATAAAATAAATAATAATACAAAACATTCAACATGATAAACAATGTAAGCAAATAAGAAAATATGAATTAAAAACCTTCAGAAAAAATATTTTTCATTTCATTTTRAAGTTAATGAAAATGTATTAAACAATATTAATTGATTAAAAATAAAATGATCAAGTAACAATTACTAAGGAATAATGCAGCTAATATTTTCTTAATTAAAATATATTTTGAATTTTAAACTGAAAACTTAATTTTATTGATGATATATTATAAATAAATAAAAACAGATATAAAAAACACTAAAAGCAATTAATTAGGGGAACATTTTAGTGGTATTCATTTTTATGTCATTGCCARCATTCACAATTGTTAAATAATTCCTAAGAATATACTTGAAGGGTTGGCTTTACTAATGAATTGTTTTTTAAAATATGAATTAAGTGATGACACTAAGATTAAAGCACAAATAGATTATTTATACTATTTCATATTGATTTTAAACTCAAGTCAATGTAAATGATAAATATACAACCATTTTAAAGTATGCCCAAAATTGTAACTTAAATCTTATAATAATAATAAATAATTAGCTGAATTTCATGATTTAATTTAACAAAATATTTATTTTTATTATATTTCAGAACTCAAGTAAACTTACTATTAGTAAAGCAACTTACTATTGGGGGGTATATGTGATGGAGTACCAGGCATCCAATTGTTACACGGTTCAGTCTTAACCTGTACTTGAGAATTAATACCAATTTGATGACTAGGACGTTGTGGCTGCTGTAATGTAGGCCGAAACATACCAATATCTCCTACAAATAATTATATTCTACTAATAACTACACATGCAAAACAATAAAAAATTCTAAAACATAAAATAATTCATTTCAATACTTAATATTTGGAAATATAGAAAATATTAACCTTTCAATACCATGCAATTTATATTTTATGAATTTAAATATATTCTCATAGTTAATTCTTACCAGCAGCTTGAGGGACAGTTGATTGTTGAGATACATCAGTGGCTGGATTTTGTTGATGATATAAAGGAGGTAAGTGATGTTGTACAGTCACAGCCGGGCTATTTCCAGATACATCACTGTCCATATTAGAACTACTAACTTGACTAGAACCAGGTGGCGAGGGAGACATTCCTCCCCCACCAGCTGTATACTCATCTCTTAGGCCAATTATTCGGCCAGAACCATTAGTAGATGTACCACTTTGTAATGTTAGACCACTTAAATCTAAACAGTTACTAGACTTAGTAAATAATCATAGCAATAAGTAAATAATTATTAATTACCTATGCCTGGTGATACAACTCGTTCATAATGATATGGATTAACACACACATTATCACATTTTAAGTCAAAAGCATATTGGCAGTACTTTAAGTGTTTGAGTTCATTCTTATGTAAATCTGGCCATCGCCAGATTCTTGCGTATATTACATGCGGAAAACCTTTACGTCCAGCTACCTATACCAAAATAAAATTTAGATTATAAATAATAATTACTATTTGTGTAAAAGATACTTAATTAATGTATGAAATATTTAATTTCTGAACTAATATTTAGAAYATTCAAATATCAACATGCATGTACTTGAGTACATTTAATTTTTGCTTATAACAATGAACGATTCCATTAAATAAGTAAAATTCTCAAATATTAAGAGGGCGCTACACATATATTAGTTGTCTCCATCTTACAAGTGCGTAACATAGCTAATTTGCTCTTAGTAGATTACGTTTATTCAGTTAGTTTAAAAATTAGACTTAATTGACCTATTATGAAACTGGATGGTAAGAACATTATCATTGTTTATAAATGAGTTTTTTACGATAACTTAGTTTTTAAGTGAGTTATGAATATTTTTAATTTACTCTTTTCCATATACAAATAACTTGCTAAAAAATCGAACTATTGTACTGTRATTTTCTTAACATCAAATTTCATAATATTTCGATTCACTTTAATTTTTAAGCTAACGGAGCTAAACGTGATCTACTGAGCGTACATTTGCTATGTTATGCACTTGAAAGACGGAAACAACAAATGGTTATGTAGCATCCTATTAATAGTAMTAATATACTAATAATCTAAATATAATCAGTAATAACTCACCTGTAACCGTCCATCTAATGTTCTTTGAATTGTAACACATTTACTCGGATGTGAACCATTTGTGGTTATAGCCAGAATAAGACTATCTAATTCATCCCTTTTTTCCTAAGTAATTAGTATAACATTAATTACTTATAAGCTATTCAATTATAGAAATATATCGTAGTGAATTTTATCATAATAGCATAGATATCTAGATAAGATCTCATCTACTAAAATTAATAATTTACATTAGGCAACTCAGGTATACCTAGCAAAACTTAATTTTAATTTTCCATTAAATAGTTACCTTTAACTTTTTAACTAGTGATTCAATAGCTCGTTTGGCAAATCCTTCGCTTTCCCATCCCTGTCGATGGCACATCAAACTGTGTACTATACTCAAACAGGCATCAGCTGACGTCGGTGCACTGGTTTGTTGCATTTCTCTGGCTTAAATTAAAGAAATAAACTAGGTACTAAGATGAAAAAAAAGAACTACTAACTATTAAGGAGTGATTTAAATTCATAAAAAACATTCATTTTTAAATATATTTTGGTGTAGTTATTTTACAGCAGAAAAGTGAAAATGACAAACCATTACAGGGACTGCAAACCCTTTGTCACAGTTGGTCTACGGTCTTCGGATGCATAACTCCACAAGGGATTTAATATTTTATAATAATTTCAGCGATAGATAGGTATTTTAAAATTTTTTATATTGTTATTCGTTCGTATTRAAAATACAAACTCAAAATTTTAGAGGTTGGTATTTTAAATAAAATTGTAAATATTTTGACCCATGATTAATTCCTACAGATCACAGGACACAGACCCGTTTGTCTGCGATACCTCCAAGGGTCCAGAGTTCAGACCATTGACCAACACGGACAGATGATGGTTCGTAAACATTACGCCCCCCACCTAGCAACTGTGCACACAACAATCCACGATCGCGTCCCACGGGCCATCGTRTAGGTACATTCTAGTCCTATCAAGTCGAACACCGAAGTCATTAACGACGATAATCAACACCTCGGACAGAACGGACTAGACCAATTACAGGCAATAGAACGTACTTGGTTGAGGAGCTGGCGGGTGTTGTATTTGTGTCGGCTGAGGAGCTTGTGCATACTGTTGTGACATCATGTGCGCATCGGTTTCCATTTCACGGTTTTCGAAATTAATTAATCGTACCACGGAATTAAATAAAAACAACAAAGAAATATCAGATAACTCCCAATCGCAAAAAAAATTCGCACCACCAACATTGGGTTGTTGTCAATGTTGTGGTCGGTTTATTTTATATTACACTTCGGATGGGCGTGTTTTTGTCAAGGGTTTCCCAAATGCAATTGGATCGGGAGTTGGCGCGCGTATTTACGAAAATCTACCGGTGAACGGGTCAACATAGACACCTCATATTTTCATTTTTTTTTCGGMATTGTCGTAAATGCACTAGACTATATTTAGGTTAGGCATGAGGGTAAACAAACTCAAATGGTATCTTTGGTGGGGTGGTAATTAAAGTAAAAATTTTGTACAGAAATTGTTTCACATAAATGTATATTTATACATATATGATTATTGTCTATTGAAATAGAACTTTAATCTATGAAAAACTTACCCCATAAATAAAAAAAAAATGAAATATATTGTTTATTATACATTTTTATTTTATTAATATAACCTGAGTAAAAATAGTTAAAGTACATTATCATCATACAATTTTATACTAAATCAATTACTGTAATAGTTTAAAAATTGGTGTATAGTTGGGACTAAACCTATATTTTTAATAATGTAACATTGTATTTAAGTATTTACCCCCGCCAACCCACAATATTATATTATATTTATATATTATTTACTTATAACAAAGTTATGATGTTAATAATGTGGTCGAAAGGGGGGGAGTTGATCTGTAGACTAGAACTTAGTATAGACTCACATTGGCTAGCATCTTTTTGTAAAATTGATGAAATTGCATAMAAATCAAGGTTTTAAAGTGTTAAGGTATTTATGATTAACAAAGCAAAAATAACTAATATCAAAACATTTTTTAATCATTGTTTCTATAAATAAAAAATTTCAGATAACTAGGCTAAATTAACAATTTAATATGAAAACATCATAAAATAGTAATCAAAAAATAGTTTTTTCTTCATATTATTATATCAATAAATATAGCAACAAACCAAGTCCATTATGTATTTGTATACAATACATAATGACAAAAAGTATACATTTTTTGAACAAAATAAGTATAATTTTTTTTTAACAAAAAGTAAATACATAATGCAGAAAAAAATCAAAATTGTATCTTGAGTAAAAAGCAATAGCAAAAATTACTTAAAAATTATAACACTAAAGTATAAAAATGTAAATTACAATTTAATTTTTATCGGTGAAAATGTTATCTCAAATATTATTTTAATAAATGATTTTACCAAGACCCTAGTCAAAATTTAATTTCGTTCTGATAATATTTTGTTAGTTTTTCTGATATTCTGGATTCCTTTTTTCTTTTCATGTTTCTGAAACATAAATATTGCAATATTAAATATATAAATTCAGGTTTGAATTCTAAAAATATAAAACAGAGTGTATATTATACTCAATTGATAACACTTAAAAGAAGTTATTAATTATTATATGTTTACCTTTAAAACCTTAGGGCTATTTTCTTTAGATGGTAAATTGGATTCAGATCCGTTTAAGGATTGTGTGCTAGAACTTATAGATGAAGGKGTGGAATTTATTACCGATTCRCTGATATCAACTAAATATTTTTGAATAATATCTCGTCTCAATGTTGTGTTAACAAAATCTGGAGTGTCAAATTGTTTTCTTTTTGGTGTATATCCTATTATAAAACATTTAAAATATAGTTGTATATAATAAATAATTTTTCATTTGAAAATCATACCTAATGGTGTACATTGTTTAGATTCATTCAAAAACATATTTATATTTGTTTCTTGTCTGAAAAATTCTTCTTTAACACATAAGCTGCCTGTACTYAAACTATCATCCTGTTTTTCCCTGAGAACTGAAAAATTTGCATGGAACTCTTTTGAAATATTTTCAAAATTATCCATTGTTTTTTTAGCATCCTGAAGGGTTTCGGATACACTGTTAGTTGTCTTCTATTATTAAAATTCAAAAATTAATAAAATTGTTTCCTTTAAAAATATAGTATTTAAATATATTACAATAATGTTATCATCAGCAGTTTCTATATGAGTTTTTATTTCTTGAGTCAAATGATTTAATTCTTTATTTATTAAAGTTGAAATTATTGTAAGTTCATCCTTGTTATTACCACACTTCTCTGATAATGTTTTTAATTGAGCGCCATCAATTATGGTATTCATTGTTACACGACTCTTTAGAGAAACAAAATTTTTCACAATATAGATAGTTAAAAAAAATCCAAAAACTCGAATTATTAATATATTAAATTACCTCATTTGTATGCCGTTCAATTGGTTCGAGTAAATTAGAATTTTGTAAATGTATTCTTTCCAATGTTTGTAAACATGGTACCAAATCTTTAATTCCTTTATCTTGGTTTGTGAACATTTCTGATAATTCATTATTTTGAGTGTTGAATTCTAAATGTATTTCATCATATGCTTTTGTCTCTTCAGCATTTTGAATATTTTCTAAGAATTGAGTGTTGAATTGTTGGCATTGTAAACTATAGTTAATAAACTGATCCTTAATCTTTTGAATTTTCTAAAGAAATAACATATATTATAAATAGTTWGTATTGTTAGCGAAACTTTTAATCTAAAGGATTACGGATCAGGACTAGTTTAATAAATTTAAACTACAAGGTATAACGAAAGTAATAGGCCTAGCGGCTGGTATATTAACGGTTAACAGATTAAATAATAATGTCACACTGACACAACAGTAAAACTAAAACGATTAAACCGTGAAATATAACATTAAATGATCAAAATATACGTTGTGGTAGGCCACGCCGCCACGGTCGCACGGGAGTACACGGCTCGATAACGGCGACACCGGTCTCTTGCGAGAGTTAACACAAAACTAGTTCGAGCCGCCACAGGGCCGCTGCACCGTGCCTACCGTAACAACTGGCCCGGGGYGCAGTGTGACCAGTTCGGGACACACTGTGCCTCCACGGCCTTACAACTTAATAAAATGGTCGCTAACAGTATACATTTATTATTTTTATTTAAGTATAACAACTTTACTTTTAATGTTTCTTGTTTTTCAATATCCATTGATTCATAGCATTTTTTCAAACGGTTAATATAAAGGTTTTCAATGGATTTATTAAAAGCCTCTTGAGTAGCCAAACGATAMTTAATTTCACACAGTACATCATTTATATTTTTATTGTAAGATTTTGTCTGGAAAAAAACAATATATTTACTAATTATATCAAATTAGAGAATTTACAATTTAACAATAAAAAATTTAACTAGTTTTGAAAATAAATTTATATMTTCTTCCTTAATTTTGAACAATGTATTCACCTAAACTGAGTCTTAAACATTTGTAAAATATTTTAAATTAAAAATTTGGGATTAACTTATTATTAAGTACCTCATTAATATGATTTGAAATCGCATCATGATATAAATCCATAGATTTAGAAACATTAATTATTGTTTCTGATTTTTCCATTATATTAAATTCTAAAAGTTCCATTTCCTTTAGCAAATTAAGTATTGTTTGGTCAATTTTACTTTTTTCATTTTCTCCATGATTCAATATGTCCATTATCTAAATAAAAGTAATGTTGAACATCAGGAAAAATAATTTTCTATTAAATAATTTTACAACGAAATTACTTGTTTTTTCATATTGGTGAAAATATTCACGGTTGCATCATTATTATTATTCATCTTATTCATAACTACTTTTAGACTATTATTGATTGAAGTATTTTGATTAAGCATGTCGTCTAAAATAAACGATTGTTTAAAGTAAATTTAATATAACTCTTAAAAAAAATGTTACCATTGAGTTTATCTTGTGTATCTAAATATTCTCTATTTTTGTTTTCAAATATCATTAAAGTATTTGAAAATGAAGTATTTGTTTCCATGACTCGATTCCTCAACTTTTCAATGGCGGATTCATTTGTTTTTTCGACATCACTAGATAATTTTAATATGCATTAAATCAATAAATCAATTTAAAATATCAAATTTAACTCACATAGTGCGTTCTATTTTATCATGAAGTAATTTCATGTCATTTTCATAAGTTTCAGCCAAGGACCTTAAGTTTGTTGCTTCTTCATCAAGTTTAACAATAAGACTGTCTCTTCTATCGCGTTCATCCATCGTTCGTATCAAATCAACTTTTAATTCCCTCATAATCTCCTTCAAATATAAAACCAGAGTAGTAAATAAAATTTTTGAAACTACCTATAAGCCCTTGTAATATAATAAAATGACAAAATTTAGGTAAAAATAATAATTTTTTAAAGTCAAGTACTTGAATACTTAACCTAACTTGTAAAGTGTCGAGTACACTGAAATTGCAGGGTTCTACACATAGTATACATATTACTATATAAGTTTAATAATTTAATAGATACAGTAAAAATGTAATAATTAAATGAAAATAATATAACAGTAGAGAAAAGTCAAGTACTCAATAAAGGTTAGGTGTGTAGTAAAAATGTACTAGACTAGAGAACTTGAACTAAACTTGAATTTTTTATAAATTGAGTATTGGCTAATTTCCTTTAAAAATAAAAAATTAGAAACATACTTCTTTTTTATTTAATTCTTCATTAACAGCTCGAATTGTAGCAATTTTTTCACAGATGTCTGCTTCATTTTTTTCTAATCTCAACACCATATCATTGTAATTTTCTTCAGCTACATAAACACCATTTTTATCTCTAGTAGCGACTAAATCTCGTTTAAGTTTTTCTATTTCATCAGTATACTCCTACAATAATTAATTATTTCAATTAATTAGTTAAATATTTTAATTTGTAGTTAGCAAATATATATATATATATATACCCGGATTAGTGCTTTTTTTGTAAATTTCTGATTTACTTCTGGCTTATTTTTTATGCTCTTAGCCCTAGAAGCATAATCCAATGTGCTCATAGTTTCTTCCAAATTGCAATGTGATGGGGATATAGTAGCAATAATAGACGTTTTAGTTTTACCTCCCAAAGAATCTTGCAATAGACGAGTAAGTTTTGATTCTCTATAAAAAAAAATTAAAACTGAATTTGTAATCAACAATTCTAACTA